AAATACCTCTAAGCATTAAATTCAAAGTCTAAATACCTCTAAGCATTGAATTCGAAATATCAAATGCCTCTAAGTATTAAGGAGTTAGGTCCACTATTTATTCCGAGTGCATCGATAATAATTAACAATGCAAATGTACCGGTAATAATTAATAATGCACTTGGGGCTTATTTTCCACGCCAGTTGATTGAATCTTTTTTTGGTAACAACGTCCCGGTTCCATTAAAAAAAAAAAAAAAAAAAAAAAAAAACACATTGACGTAACTAAAATTGGTTTCAGATCAGACGCGAATATGGCTGCTACGACGAGGTTTTCTTTTCAAATTACAACCTTAACAAACGTCAGTGCAATTGGATAAGATTCCTCCGGATAGTTCAGTCTTACGATGACCAAGTAAATCTAATTGGTACAAAAATAAAAGGTAACAAAATTTGATCTGACAAAAACTTTTGAATAAATTTAATCAAAGAGGCTCTGTTCCATCTCGTTCGATACTAAAGCGATACGATTACTTTTCATTTTTAACCGACTTCGAAAAGGAGGAGGTTACTCGATTCGACGTGTATGTCTTCTTTCTTTATATATTTGTTACGTCTCTTAGGGGACCCAATCTTCGAAGTGATAAGAGACGTCCAGCCTGATACAGAATTGGTAGCTTGGTTTCTGCCCACGATGGAACAAGATTTCGTCTTTATATCCCACGACATGTGCCCGAGGTTGGCTATTTACAGATGTACGATCGACTCCATTCTACACGGTGAGTCGTCAAACGAATTACATATAAATATACGGCTGGACAATTATTTCAAATAACAATCTTTTAAATAATTTAACACGTTGAACGCCACGTCACCCACATATGGGTGACGGAGCTTTTCACTAAAGAATTTTAATAAATAATTTGAAGGACCATGTATTGATGAAAACAAGTCTGGATAGAATTCGTAAATTTCGATGAGAATTGAAAAATAAGTAATACGATAAGTGTTAGATTCTATCATTTCTAATTGTCTCGAGACGAAATTTTAGTCCTGTAGACATTTCCATGCGAATCAATGTGGCAGTAAACGTGTTAAATAAGCAATCTTTATATTTTATTTTAAGAATCTCCACTAGACTTATCCATGGCGCTACTCTCCCACAACACAACATCCGTGATTTCGCGTCAGTATTACGACATCGACGAGTACGAGTCGACGTCGGAAGAGTCTTCGTCGTCCACGCTCTCCTTGACGGGGGATTATTTGGATTGCAGCATTTTGACGACGATCAAAAGAGGGGAGAGGGTTCTGTTACCGTGCGAGGTCTGTGGAAAATCTTTCGATCGTCCCTCTCTTCTCAAGAGACACATGAGGACACACACAGGTACGGGACAGATTTAATTGTCATACATCGAAAATTAAATAGTTATAAACGTTTTTCGACGATTGGTAGGTGCGAAATTTGAATCGGTGCTCTCTATCCTTCTCGCACGGTATATCTTTCTCTCTCGCACACTTTCAAGGGGCCCCGCCGGCGCGAAATTTAAATATTCCTCCTACTAATCGGCGAAAAACGTTTATAACTATTTACTTTCAACCGAAATCGTATCAACACCGGTTCTTGAATGTTGCTAATAATCAGTACTATCTTCCACGAGTACCAAGATCCATTATTTACATGCACAAAGTTAATAAACAATAGAATAAAGCGAATATTTCTAACGAAGTAACGCGTAGCTAAGATTCTAATCCTCGATGATCGTTCTAGTTTTCAAGATATTTAAAAAAACAACGTGTCTAATATTTTTTTTAGATCTACCTACCTTACTTACCTACTATCTTAACAAGTTTTTAACAAAAACCATCTTTGACATTAAATTGAAGGCGAGAAGCCGCACGTTTGTATGGTGTGCAACAAGGGATTCTCGACGTCAAGCTCGTTGAACACGCATAAACGAATTCACAGCGGCGAGAAACCCCATCAGTGCCTTGTTTGCGGTAAAAAGTTCACGGCCTCATCTAATCTCTATTATCATCGCATGACACATATCAAAGTAAGTTTCGTCCAAGTTCTCTTTGATAAAAAAAGGAAATTTTCTTGAAAATGTATCATCCGTACTATCATTGGTAATTGCGAGACATATTTATGTAAAAAGGAGTGAGCACTATTGGAAGTCGTGTGAGGGAATCCTCAACACGGCTGTGATTCCCCTACAGTGACTATCCTTGGTCTAACGAATGTCTCATTTGGTCTCATTTACATATGTCTCAGCGACATAAACACGAGAAAAGTTATCTTAAAACATGAGAAATTCGCAAGAAACGTACTGTTTCTTTTGCAGGAGAAGCCACACAAGTGTTCCCAGTGCTCGAAATCCTTTCCAACGCCTGGAGATCTCAAGAGCCACATGTATGTTCACAACGGACTATGGCCATTTCGGTGCCACATATGTAGCCGCGGCTTCAGCAAGCCAACCAATCTCAAGAACCACATGCTGCTTCACCTTGGTCGATGTTCCAACAAAAAGATCGTTAAGTCAGTTTCTGACTACTAACAGATTAACTCATTGATGATTGGAAATGTCAATCATGAAAGTGAAATTTACCTATTACGTAAACCGATGTTATTCCTTTGAATAATTATTTATGAAAATCGTTTCTCCAAATTGAAAATTTGCAAAGGGGGAACTACTGTGGTTAAGTAATTAAAAGAATTGTCGTATTCGCATAGTATATAATGTATTAAAGTCTTAAATATTAATCTGGCAATTCTACTGATATGGAATTGAATTTTTTATTTTTGTATCATAATACTACAAGCACATTAATGAAGAATATTTAGCTGTCCAGTGTTGGTAGCATAAACCAACCCCTGTCCAGGTTGCGGTGCCCACCTGATACAATTTAAACTTACATAACCAGTAGTTTCACGATTATTCTGTAGCAATTCTCTAATCAACACCATATTCTTTTTCTTATCGTTAATATTTAAACAACTTTCCATATTACAAGTATTCCAGTCTTGGCCATACAGTCTGTCGTTGTCAGCATTGTGCTCTCTTAAATTACACGTACTACTATTTATATAATTAGTATATTCCGCAGTCTTGTTATAAAAATTTGTAGTCTTGCATAAATTATATTTTGCATCGTTTTCATCCAATGACGTCCGTTTGTCGTCTTGGGATTCCGTATCGACTAATTTGTAAATCGAAGCCATAAAAAAAGGTTTTGCTGGAACATGAATCTTCCTCCCAAGACCTACTAAAAGGTGCTGCTGCGTTGGTGATATCGATACAGAAACCACAGATTGATCTATTTTTGTAGAATAAATTTTTTCTCCTAAAGTCTCCCACTGCAAACTGTAAACTCCTGAAAAAATCATGTACATTGTTTTCGAACCATATTAATTTAAAATATATGTTTTTAACAAATTTAAATGAACCACTTATTGGTTTCAAACAATTAATTACTGTATTCATATGTGAATCACTTTAAAAAAATTATTTACCTAATGTAGTTGTTACGTTGATTCGACCTGATGGAAGGAGTGCTGCTAAAAGTTTTCCATCCGAAGAGATATCTACGCTCGCATCATTGTGTATCTTGCACTCGTGAACGACGATATTTTTCTCAGCTGTAAGGTATAAGTAGTAATCTAAAGGATGAAGGTAGCATAAATTTAACACAAGCTTGAGCGTGTATTAAAATACTTACAATTGGTGATGTCAGGTATTTCACCGTTGGAAAAATCCCATGCTTGCACACGATAGCTTTGAATTTCTAAAGAGTTAAAAGATATGCTCAACTGGTATATGATCAAACAAACATTTGATCACAGAGATACAAATTTTAGTTGACTCACCCTGTATTATAATATAATATTTATTACATTACCTCCAAGATTTAAATCGCCACTCTCGTTCCTAGGGTCTTGTCCAACACTTCCTCCCCTCGTCCGTGGCCCTAAGCTACCAGTATACACGGAGTAACGAGAGTTGTTCGATATATAATACCGATCATGTATGCGTCTTCGTTGAGAATTTTCTGGCAAGTTCATTATAGGAAGGTTCAACTGTTGCCTACGAGATAACAGTTCGTTATAAAAAAATCGTCGGTTGTTGTTTACTTCATAATTGTATTCAACGTTTAAGCGATTTCTCGGCAGGGAGTAATGTCTTCTCAACGTGTCAAGTGAGATAGAATGGGGGGAGACAAATCTCTGATAATTCGTCGACGACCTTGGGTTCTCTTCACTCTGAGGAGAACGTTCCGTAGTTGCGTTAAACGTTTGGTTCCTAAATTCAGTACTTTGATTGCCTGGTCTATTAATGGTTCTATTAAGAGACGGTGCGTTCCTCCAACTTCTCTGGAAGTTTCTTCTCCCCCTATTAATATTGTGTTGAAAATAGGTTTGTTGAGAAATGCTGTTCCCATTACTATATTCAACGCTCTCTACTCTGTTATTACTCCGTCCATCGTTACTGGTTTGATTTCTGCTTTGTGCTCTGGAATCTCGATTCAGTAGGTGCAAGTGGAACGACTTCAAACGCCTAAAATACAAAATTAGAATAAGAATTGAACCCACAGGCAATATTAACTAAAACACAAAAACCCAAATTTATTATTTTAGAAATAAATGAGAATATTTCAATATACCCAAAAAAATTTTTTCTTCCATGTTTCTTACACAGGCCCTGCTCCTTATTATGAATGGAGAAAGTATTCGCTATCGCTTCAATTGTGGTCTTTAAATTTGAATTAGGTCGACAATATATTGATCTTGAACTTGTAATTGCATTGTTGCACCCTTCATTAGTACTATTATTTGTATCTTTGTTACTATTTACAATTGATGTTTGAGATGTATTTGCTGCGGAATGACTAGACACGCTCTTGGCAAAATTTGAGACACCGGATAATTGTGGTTCGCTGATGATTTCTGTGGCAGAGACCAAATTGGATCTGCTTGGTAGCTGGTCACTTATATTCTCAGTTGGCAGAATGGAATCAGTGCAGTTGGCAGAATGTATGTGAAAATCATTATGTAATTGTGAGAAATTATGTCCTTGTATCTGTTGCGATTGAGATTCATCAGAAAACAAATTTAAGTGAGATCTATGCATTGTATTTTTTATTGATCGTATAAAATATCTATCGTAATTATTCTCAAGACTTGTAATCCCTTTCGATGTTGACGGTTGACTCTGATTGTATTTTTTATTATCATTTTCATTCTTTTCTTTCTTTGCAGTTTCATGTTGTGCATTTAAAGGAATATTTTGATGAAACGTCAATGGTCTTTGCAAGTTATCACAAACTTTACTTTTAATTTGTCGCAGTCTTGCTATTTCCAATCTAGCTCTGCAAAATGAAAAAGGAACACAGAGAATAGTAGTTACCATGGTCTTTTTTCGCTATAGAAATGCTTGTTCCAACTTACCGGCACAGCTCTTTCCTGTTGTCAATGTAACGATTAAGTAATTTAATATCCTGACGAACTTTCAAAAGCTCCACAAACTTTGCACGCTGAACAGATAATAGTTGCGACTCTGCACTCTCTGGTTTATTTTCTTGTTGTAAATAGTTTGCATTACTACTCGGAGTAGGCATTTCAGGATCTTTCAATGTTCCGTTACATATTTTCACATTATTAATGGTATTTCGATGATTTTCTGGATTTAAGTTGCCACTTGATATCTGAGAGGAGTTATCGTTACAATTAACTTCTGTTAAGGATGGTTTGCATTGAGTGTTACTAAAACACATGGATGTCGAAAAATTTTCTTGATTCCATAATGAATTTCTATTATTTGAAGAAAAAATTTGCATCTGTCCAGTTGTAGAGGAATTGTATTGTTCCGACTGCTTGCCAATATTTTCATTGTTTAACAATATACTCTGCGTATTTGCAATATTATCAGAGACAATTGTATACAGATTCCTTTGAAATCGGTCCAATACTCTCCATAGTAAGGGTGAGTTTCTAAATGACAAGAACATTATAAAATTTTTATTTAAATAGGTTTCGAATGTATTCATATAATGAATAATTATAAAAATATATATACCTATATTTATCCTTCGAAGCTGACAATCTGTTATTTCTAATAATACTGTTCGGTTTATTATTACCAGGTAGATTATGACTTTCCAGTCCTATTGCCTTCAAACTATTTGTAGGCATTTCTTGACTTTGCACTGTATCCTGAGACGCTGAATCATATATTGTTGTTACAGATAAGTTGTTTCCTGAAATATTATGGAAATAAGTGTACTCTTTTTGTACGCTTCGATTTCTAATGTGAAAGCCTAGGGAACTTGTGTGATTATGTATGTACTATGTATTGTTAATGAAAAAGTTAGTTTAGAGTCTACTTACCAGTAGAAGATGCAGAGTTAGTTTGTCTCAAGAGTTGATCTGGTCCATCATCTTCTTTCTTCTTCGTCATACTGTTTCTCAAATTACAATTCCTATTGTTGTTGAATCTTTCTTCACAGTTCTTGATATCTCTAATATTCGAATTCCAGTTTGGATATATGTGAAAGTTTCTAAACGTATCACTGCTAGAGCTCAAATTTCCACCTTCACTAAGAAGTTGTATTTTCTGGAATAATCTATTAGACGAACTTGAGCTTGTACTAGGCTGTTCGTTCCTTGCTTCGAGGTTCCCCCATTCAGAACAGTTCAAGTTCACTTGAGAGTGATGCTCTGCAAAACTTCGATTTCTTCGTAAAGCATTGTACGTGGTGAATTTATTTTTGAATCGTTGAATTCTGGATTTTATATTTCTGAATCGGAGCTCCATGTTCTTCCTTACTCCTGCATTATCACACAGTATAGATAATTTAAAGTTTCTATTCATGGGATAGGAAGATAACATTGAAATCGGATACATCTGCAAAGATGTAGCATACTCTGGCACAGCATTTAAAATTTCCCTTAAATCCAAAAGAGGGCTTTTCCTTTTCGATTGCGTTGAATTTATAATAAATCCCACTAATAGTAATCGTTGATATCGTTCCAATTTTCTCAATCTTACATTGTCAGCTCCAACGCAGGAATTCATCGTATTCATGAACTTTCGTATCGACACTTTTGTTTGTTTGTTCCTATAATCTGTCTCCCCTAAATTTAACATCGATGTCTCTAGTATGCTCAACGAATTAGTCCCACGATCAACCTTAATTCACATTGGAAAAATATATTGGTAAATAAATATATTGTTACAACTCAAATAAGTCAAAGATGGCAAGTAAACAGACTGTTTGCTTAAACAAGTATTCCGTATTTTTAAATGCTATTGCAATAGTTGTTTTATTATTAAAATACTCACCGTGTTCAAATATCTTCTAGTAAGTGTTTCATATTGATTAATTAAATGTCTGCGATAGGGACTCAATCTTTCTTTTTTTACATGTACAGAATCAGAACTTTGTTTCGCTACAGTTGCTAATGATTCCTTGTTACCATTTGCGTTGCTTGAAGCATTATTAAAGTTACTCGTACATTCTGAGTTACTTTTCGAGTTATTACAATCATGAACTTCCTCGTTAATGTGTATTTTATTCATTGCGTGTCCATTTTGATTTGATTCCATGTTATTATGATTTGCAAATGTACCAAATAAATTAGTCGCTAATTGAGTGTTACTAGTGCTCTCAAAACTATTTCTAGGCTGCTGAACTTCCCTCAATCGTAACTTAAGTCTGCAATCTTGATTATTAATAGCTGACCCTTCGCGATCTCGCTGCATAAAGTAACAAGCACTGTAAATAGTGTGATTCAATCTCAACCAATTCTCTAATGTCACGATGCGCCTATATTGTACCCAATTATCTGAATGTTGAGTGGTTCTCTCAGCATAATTGTTTGGTAGTTGGCTTCCATATGTTGCTCCATGATTCCTTAAATGAAATCCAGGCAGCGTATTGAAAACTTGTGTCCCATTGCGTGAATACCTACAATTTTAGGAAATTAGTACTGTAATATGCTAAGACAGATGCAGTAGGATTGGTGGTGCAAATAATAGTTACATAACAGAATTTGGTTATATTTAAAAAAAGCATTGAATATTTATTATACATACCTTAACACATTTCTGTAAGGTTGCTCTATAGGAGGGCAATTCCACTGTAGCTGCATTTGTGGTGTGTTTGCGATACCTGTAATCAGTTTCCTTCCCAATTTGTCGAAAGTCACATACCTGAAATGCAAAGTTTAGTGTAAAGTATCTATGCTTAATTCTAAATGGTATAAGATAAATTACCTTGCCCTGTAATGTGTAATTTGTCAATGCTTACCTCACTTTTTCCTTGTCAGTCTTAGTGGTTACTACCGCGAACGCTTCTGGTTGACTCCAATCCCAAAAATGTATTTCATTGTATGTTGCTATAACAAGTAATCTCTCAAATGGATGAAAGGCAAGCGAAGCTATGACTGTCTGACTCTCTGCATTCCAAACTTCACTGCCATCCTATGTAATGATTATATGTTGGAAATATTTTATTTGTAATTGTTCCTATGGTAACATATCTAAATATTCAAGATGTTATCATTGAATGAATACTCACACTCAAATCCCAAACACGAACTTGACCACCTAAACAGCCAGAAGCCAAAATCTGACTGGAAGAGGGATGGAATGCAATGCACCATGGAGTACGAGGATGACCAGAGAGTGTTCTAATATTTTTGCCAGTTGTAACTTCGGTGATATAAACATTATGATTTCCATGAGTCGATGCCATCTTAGTCCTGGAATTAAATTCCACCATCGAATTAAAAATTAATCATAATTTCTATTTCTGATACATTTAAAGCTACAGATGATCAATGCAAACCTAATGCAAATATTACAATGCTTTTTAAATTAAATTAGTTCTAGCATTAATTTGAAATTGTTATGTGTTGAATGTATTTTATATCTCACCCATCTGGACTGAAAACCATTAAGAACGTTGCTCGAGCTATCCCAGGTAGATTACATTTCTAAAAAAGAAATTTAGAAGTACGAAATTGATTTTTTTTTTCTTTAATATACTTCATATTAAATGTAAATGTATTTTATGATATCAGATTGCACTTCTTACCAATTCCTTATGGTTCTTCAATACAAGATTTGTTTCTGCTACTGATTGCAACTGCGTACTGGGTTTACATATTGTGTGAAATCCAAAGTCTCTAAGCCTCAAATTCTGTAATATGTTTTGTGACTGACTGCCATGGTATTCTGGTGTTTTCTTGATCTTTCCCATTTATCTAGCGATCTATAATATTCATAAAGGATCACTACCATTTAAAGAAATCTATGCAAAAACCAATAATTACATTTCGAAGATGCAAGAAATTGAAAAGATGAACTGAATCCATCAAAAACGAATATGTCTAAACAAAAAAGGACAAAATAGAGGTGTTTGCTGAAACGTCTGGAAAAAAGAATTAAAAACGAGCAAAACTGACAGCTGTCAGAAACATATATAACAAATATAAAACAGTACTCTTTGTATATTAAAAAAAAATATTATCTTAAAAATTGAATATTTTTCTCTTACGTTTTAAGAGATAAATTTAGTATTGGACATTAATTTGACATTACTTATTTTCAAGTTGACCTTCACTTTTAAAAAGACAGAATTTACAACAATTCAGATTGCACACAATTCGTCGCTGCAAATATTCTTATTTTAACTAACTAATTTTCACCGAACGGAGCAAAACATATTACTCAGCTCAGCATACACAATAAACACTGTACATCCTTCTCTATTACCTTCGAAAAGAAGTAACCACTCGTTGCGAATACTCGTAGAAATCGTTGGTGCGTTGGGTAAATTTTCAAAATCTATATCTTTATTTTCAATCTCCACACACGTACACGATAAACAATACGTATATCAACGTATGACCACGTATGATACTTAGAATATTTTTATAATCACATGCTCTAGTGGAATATCACCGAGTATGTTTACACAGGACAGATTCTAACTCTGATTTAGTAACAACGGTTTTGTATCTTCTAACCACAGTATAAGAAGAAGAATAAAGATGATACGAGTCAACGAAACCTAATCTATAGCCTAGGAATATAGAACATAGAAACGAAGCATGAGCTTGGAACAATTTTCACTGCAAATTTAGGCGTTTGTCCACCGATGGCGCTATTTGTACTTTCTCTTTTCTTTCTCTTTATTTTAGGCGCATGAAGAGTTGCACTACTGCTACTAAAACCCACTCATAGAGCGGCTTAGTGAGCAGTGCTGACTATATTACAATAAATGCTATATACAGGGTGTCCCAAAAATGTTGTAACACCTTGAAAGAGGTGATTTGAAACAACTTTTTGAGCGGCCGCGGTAGCGAAGGCTATGTGCTAAGCGGCCGCGCTTGTACGCGAACAAGCGACTCGACGTGCATCGAAGGACATTAAACGCGGCTGTTTAGAACATAGCCTTCGCTACCGCGGACGCTCCAACGGTATCCGCGCGCTCTGATTG